CTCTTCCGATCTCGGACGGACGGACCGACGGACGGACGGACGGACGGACGGACGGACAGACGGACGGACGGACAGACAGACAGACAGACAGACAGACAGACAGACAGACAGACAGACAGACACAGAGACAGAGACAGAGACAGAGACAGAGACAGAGACAGAGACAGACAGACAGACATACATACGTACATACAGAAGTATGTACGTCCGTACATACATACGGGCATACATGCATATTTCCTTCTATATATATATATATATGGTGATGGTTGTATATGTGTGTGTACGCGAGAGACAGAGAGGGAGAGAGAGGGAGAGAGAGGGAGAGAGCGGGGAGCCTGACCACGTCCTCAAACCCCAGAAAACAGAACAGAGAGCGGGAAACTCCCCCCCACAGCCCTGGCCAAAGAAAGAGACTACGAGGAGCGGTCTGATCCATAACTCGCCGAAGAGAGACGGTCAAGAGTCAGGAACTGCCAAACCCCAAGGCGGCAGCAGCCAAAATGGGGCTCACAAATGGCTCAAGAATCGTTTCCCTATTATTCGCTCCCAGCCAAACAAATCTTGAGGTTCTTGAAGACGGGTCTGGAGCTTCGAAGGATACAAGGGGTGGAAGCTGTGGATGAAGAGCAGCAGGAGTCCTCTTTCTCACGACGGCTTTCTGACCAGCTGGCGGAGGCACAACTTCGGGTCTAGGGTTGGGAGGCTTACGATTCTTCGGCCATCGCGGTTTCGGCCCAGATTTGTCTCTTAGAACAGCCTTCATCCCTATGCCCGAGCTCCGGTTCCCGGTCTTGATTCGTAGCACCCGACAAATCACGTGATGCCCCTGCCACGTGGCTCTCGTGCTCCTCGGGATCCCCGCCGGGCTCAAGACGTAGCAACGAGGCCGAGGAGCGCTTCGCGCGCTTCGGCTCTGCTACAGCCGCGGCCCGACCTGCAATCGGCGACAACCTGCCTTTAATCATCCCGGTGACCTTGATTCCCGTTGCTGATGCAATCTCCGCCGGTTCGGAGCAATTCGTCGTCGTCCTGGTGGCAGTAGTGGTGGCTAGTTGTTCGAACGGTGGTGGTGCTGATGGTAGCAGCGGTGGTTGCAGGGCGATGGTGCCCTTGCTTTCAGCTCTTGCGCCAGAATGGGCGGTTGCCACACCACTCGCTACCCGCCGCCCAATACCCACCACCACAACCACCCAACACAGCCACCAGCACCACCACTGCAAACTCTGCAGCTGGCAGCGTGCCTGGCACAGGTTTGCATACGATTGCGGGGTTGGTTCAGGCAGAATCTCTGATGCCCCGGGTACCCCACTCCAGAGAACATCAGTCTTCTAGCTGCAGTAACATCGTCGTCCGGCATTCGTAGCAGGTGCTGTAGCACAGACAGTGAAGCCGTAACAGAGTGTCGCAGTGACAGAGGGCCGGACAATAATACAGTACACAGCAGAACCAGAGGTACAAGCTTCAGTAACACGGTAAGAAAAACGTGACAGGCATAATTATCATGAACCTCGTTACCAGCTGGTGCAATAATAGCATCGTGGCAAATGGCTGAGGATTGGCAGATGCAGACTCCACGAAGTGCCTCAGGCACGGGCCTGTGTCTTTGGGATTTCCAATTTCAGGCATGTGGGGGTTTTGGGGCTACGGGATCTTCTCAGGGTCGTTGCACCACGGCCTTGTGCGAGGGACCCGGGACGTTCCGTCTGGAGGGCCTTTAGGGAAAGGATCTGTGTAAGCCAGGAATGCACGTTGCTAAGTTGAGGTCCGAAAGGCCCCCATCATCATCGGTGTCACCATCACCATCCCTTTCCGTCGTCGCCATCCCCATCGTCACTATGCTGTCGGATCTTTGACGATCCAGAGTTTCGCGACTTGCGAAGTATTGGGCGTTGGGCTTTGAGCCTTGGTGCTGGTGGGTGCCCCAGCAGCACCAGCCCTTCCATGCATGTCCAAGTTCGCTTTCCGACCTGCAGGCCTCACTCCGCACCGAAACACCGACCTCAGTGGCGAATCGAGGTCCGGACTTTGCGATGTCCTCACCACTTCGGGATATAACCTTCTGTAATTGTTGTTGCTGTTGTTGTTGTGATTGGTGATTCGTGTTTTCATGGCTCTTTCTTGGAAGGATTTCATGCGACCGCTCCATGGGGTCTTGGGAGCTTGTGCCATATGGGACATCAAGTTGAGCTTGTCGGAATGCACCGGCTTGCTGCATTCCGATTGGATTGGGAGATGAAGGCACAGAGAGAGAAGTTGTGCTTGCTGGTGTATTTCTGGCATGAATCTCATGATTCATGCCTTCTTCTATGATCACAGCCACCGGCCAATGAATTAGCTGTGACTGCGAATGGAAAGGCACGCCTTACCCCGGAGGCTGAATGCCGGTGTTGTTTGCTGCCGAGCTTAGCCGTCTCTTCCGCGCAGTGTTGAACTGTGGAGCCTAACTTTATCGGGTTTAGCAAACATGGTTGGCAGGACGCTGCGAGGGCTTGGCGTTCCTCCGCTGCCCTTGAGATGCGAGGTCGACGAAGGCCACTTTTCTGTGAGGGTTGTAGGTGAGCAGTTCTCCAAGAGCTGAGCAGATGAAGGAACCCGCAAGACGCCAGAAGGCTCGAGGTTTCCGTGTAGGGGAGTGTGTTTCCTGTCATAGCCCGATGAAACTCAGTACGCACAGCCATTCCAATGACAAAAATCCCACAAGTTAGGGTGGTTACATCTTAGGTCACATATATTCTGAAACTCCCATCTGCCAAATTCTCTGAAGGAGGAACCCCTAACATACACGGCACAGAGCCCCAAGACTAGGATCCGCAATGCCAGGATCTCCCAACATGGACTTCAAATGGTAGGAAATTCAATCGAAGACCCGCGACAAAGTTTTCATAAGTGAGTCCTAAGGCCCCATGCACATTCGTGAGCAATCCTTTAATGTCGCCCTCTTGTAGATCCTCTTCAAGCCTTACGCCCGAAACCCTAGGCCCAACTCGTTTTTAAGGAAGTGTGACCGCCAAAAACATCGTTGTCAAGTTGAGATGAGCACCGCCGATTTCCTTGTGTTCCAATCATCTCTGCCTGAGCCAATAGTTACATTCGAAACACCTCTGCCTGCAACGTAGGTCTCACCTCCAACCGACAAGCACCAAGAACCTCGCCTGGCATGTCCGAGCGCGAGCGCCGAAACCCGAAACGCTAAACTCCTCCACAGGTCCTTGCCAAACCCAAACCCTGCAACCCTAGCCCCTAAATCCTGAAATAGAACCCTAAACCAAACGCTCACCTTGTGCAACGCGGGGTAGCCAGGCAGCCTGGGTCAGTGACCCTTGCTGACCGGAAGCGAGAGGAAGGGGTGAAGAAAAACAACCCGCATCCCTAGCAGTCAACCTCATACTCTAAACCCTACACCCCAAAACAACACCTACACTCCTCCATCCACAACAGGGCCGCCCACCGGGCGCCGGGTCGACAGTAAGGAGGACTCCTCGGAGGAGGAGCTCCCCGGAGGCCTCTCCAGATTTTTTTAAGTGTATGGGCGAAAAGCTCTGGTCTATGCAAGTGTAGGACGCCTTGATAGTCACTAATCTAAGCAAGGTTTCCGGCCCCCAAACTCTGGAAAGCAAGCATCCCTAGCGTTCCCAATTACTTAGACCCATGCATTCGATTCTGGAGGCCGGCGCGGCGGTGGCAAGTCCTCCCCCGTCTTGGGGTCCGTGCTCGAGGTGGCATCCTAAAGTCTTGAGCTCCTTCGTTGCGTTGTCTCTCTCGGTTAAGTGTTTAGGAGTGTGCCATCAGCCGGCTCACTTGCAACATCGTTGTCTTACCAGCTTTCTTTTCGGGAGACGAAAGCTGAACGTCTTTTTGTCATCGGCGCTTAAAGATTCCCTAATGATTATGTTGTCTTGCCTAGATACAGTAGGTGGCACCAGGTAGAGGTGCAATTCCAACGATGATGATGATCTCTGTGCTGTGACCTCTGATAGCCACACGTGATCTGAGAAGCCACGAACTCCTCATCTTATTGAGGGTTTCGGGGTGCTTCGTCGACACTCTTCACATTAAAAGCCATTTCCCGCTCGTATCTTTTCTTGTGACACATTGTTTGGGAGCAGCGCGCCAAGCATGCGCAAGCGCACGTGCATGAACTGGTGTGCCATTCCCATGCACGGGCACGTGTGTGCCACGCGCACACAGATCCGTCAATCAATCTGGTCATTTCTGTACATGCCATTCAGTAGCCGCGGGATCACCGCACTCGTAGAGAACGTGTGAATTTCTCAACCAGTCCCAAGAGTTTCCTTGTCTGTTTTGCCGCAGAGACCAGCTTTAGGAAGACTTGCCCTGAGCCCGTCAGAGACATAGCGTGGAACCTGCTCAGGATCACACACACACACTACGAACATGAGGCATGAGTTGTTTCACGGGACCTGAGTGCATCCAGTTGACCAGCTACAAACCGTCTAGACTAGTGACGTATCCTCTGAAGAGCGCCAAAGATGTATGCGGTGACATGTGGAACCCACAAGTGCGTGCTCGAGATGTTCAGAGAAACATGTAAAGTAGGTGAGTCGAAAGTCTTTGGTTGCATAGTTACGGTAGCACAGCTGCTTCAGAGCTACTAGGCCAACACTTCTTCCCAAACGGTGTGCAGCCTCGACCCACATAAACGAAGAGCATACCATAAAGCTTTACACAACCTTACAGAACCTTCATAAAACTTTTTCATAACGCCTTTACACAATGCTCAGGAACCTTCATAAAACCTTTGTAAATTATAGAACCACGTGAAACCCGATGAAACCTCTAAATTTCGATCCAGGCGCGGCCGTGAGATCGCACCATTGTTGCCCCAGCTCTCAGGCACTTACGAAGTCCCGAAACCCCACATCCAGACACAGGCGGCAGAGGGGATCCTCACCTCTCCCGGCCGCTTGGAGTTGTAAAGGCTTCGGAGGCTGCATTTTCAGAGAGGCGGCGGCCTTTGAAACCCTTCTTGGGTTCATGCTTACTTTAGGCCTTCAGGCATCTGAAAGGAGAGACAGGTTAAGACACCAGACGCGACGGTTCGTGACACGTGGACATGCCCCCACGGTTTGCCCAAGTTTCCATAGTCACCACTTCGGCAAGGCTCCGATCTGTCTGATGGGCAGCAAGAGCTATGAGATGTGGCCAAAGCATGCAGATGCTGCCATCCAAGTCACATGGTGGGTGTAGCAGTTCTCGGTTGGAGACTGCGGATGAATTCGCGCGTTTGCGTGTGGGCAACATTCAGGGCAGAGGATCATGCAGAGGTGAGGTTGGGATGCCACAATGGAGAGGTTTGCGTTACATCGGCGGCAGCTCACTGCACTCTCGGAAATCCGCTGCACAACCGGTGCCTCGAGCCGACAAAGCCCAGGCTTTAAGGTCTGAGTCGGAAAAGCTGACTGTGGACGAGCCCGATACTTAATTTCGGGGCCTTAATAATAAGAACAGGGTTTGGGGGTACATTATACTATAATTATAAGAAGCAACCTCCAAAACTCTATTCTAATTATTAAGGCCCCTACATTATCGCCTTGCCACATCTCTCACGGCCCTCTCGAGGGCTAACCCCTCTACCTGACTCCTGCGTTGTGCACCGGAAGCAGCAGCAGTAGCAGTTCCGGAAAGAAGTTTTTTGCACAAAAGCCGTAAGTCGCGACAATACAGGACGTCAGGTAGATGGGACTAAATCAGTGCGCGCATTCGACCCGATGCGATCTGCCACAGCATGCCAAAATGACTCTAGGCGGTTCTTGGTGCAGAATTGTTTTTCGGGAATCCGAAACAAGAGCCCCTTTAAATTCGATTGCAGCCGCTAGCTTAAGGAGTCTCTTGTAGACGTTGACATCGATTCCCGTACAATGTCGCTGGCTGCTGTGATCAACCCGCTCGGCTTCTCCTTGTTTCGATTGCTCACATCGCGTCCTGGCGAGAACGTCCTCATCTCCCCGCTGTCCATATCGGGTTGCCTGTCAATGGTGGCAGCTGGTGCTACAGAGGGATCCGGCGCTCAAAAGGAGCTGATGACCTTGCTCAAGGCTCTGGTTCCGAGTTTGCCCCCTGACAGCACCGTGAAAATGGACAACTCCGCGTGGGTTAAAATGCTGATCCGCCCAGATTTCGTGGAAGAAGTCCAAGCCAAGTTCGGTGCAGATGCCCGTCAGCTGACGAGCACGGATCCCAAACCCATCAACGACTGGGTGAAGGACAAGACCAGCGGGCTCATTCCGACTCTTTTCGATGGTGAGCTGGACCCCCTCACTGTGCTGGTACTGGTCAACACCGTGTTCTTCAAGGGCTCGTGGGCAACAGTCTTCGATGTCAAGCTCACGAAGAAGTCAGAATTCAAAGGCTTCACTGCATCTCTCCCGTGCGACATGATGTATAAGAAAGAGAAGAACGTAGCATACACAGAGAATGATGCGTTTCAAGCTGTGCGACTTCCATATAACGACGAGAAAACTTGGGCAACCATCATCCTTCCAAGAAAGGAGGGCTCGGCAGCCTTGTCTGAAGTGGCTATTTCACTGGAGAAAACCTGGGAATCCTTGAAAGGGATGCGCGGTGTGGAAGTGGAGCTTAGTCTTCCTCGCTTCCGCCTCAGCGCGGGTGGTTCTATCACTACAGCGCTAAGAGAGCTCGGCTTGAAGGAAACCTTCGACTCGAATGGTGGCTTCCTGAAGATGTCGGACGACCCACAGGTGCACCTGAGCGAGGTTGTGCACAAGGCGACCCTGGAAGTCAATGAGGAGGGCACCGTTGCTGCGGCAGCAACTGGCGCAGTGATGATGACCAGGTGTCTTCCGCCGCCGGCAGTACCGATGACAGTCGACCGGCCTTTTCTTTTCATGCTCAGCGACAGCGATGGTACGATTTACTTCCTCGGCCAGATAGTAACGCCAGAGCTTGCAGGGCTCGAGGCAACCTTGAAATGAATGCCGAACCTCGCGGCCGCGCGCTTGCCGCCGTGCCGCTCCTTCTTTCGCGGCTTCCTGTACAAAGCCAAAGCCACCTTTTCGATTTCGCATAGTACAGAACCGGAATTAGTGCGGAAAGCAAGCAGATTGCCTTTTGCCCACCAATGCTGCTGGTGATAGGGTCTGACATGGTCTGATATCGCTACCATGATTTTGACACAGCATTTACTTTGACCGAATTAGACAGCGACAAGAATCGATCGGGAGGCGTTCCAGCGTCTCATCGATCCTTTCGTCAGCGGAGTGGGTTGCTCAGCTTTCGGCATTTCTCGACTTCCGTTTGAATGCAGGTGTCTGGTTTCTGCTGTTCTCCACCCGGTCGAGATTTGGAACATAAGGGTACCATTGCTCTATCTCAGCTCAGGTGCCAGTTGTTTTTCCGCCAGACATTCTCTTAGCTGAATGCACAGCCACCGAAGCATTCCCCTTGCGATGCATACTAAGGTCTACGCCGGAGATCCCTCCACGTTATCTGCTGAAGCTGCAACCGGCCGTGTGCAGGCTCCTGCCGGGCAGAGTGTGGAAAGAAGTTATCAGCACCGCGGTAGCCAGGCCCTGCCACCGTTCGAAACTGTAGCCGCATTGAGGTGCTCGAGAAGAATGCAGGCTCCCTCGTAGCCAGGGCCTGAAACACAGCCGCCACTTTATGCACCAGCTTTGGGATTTCCTATGTCGAAGCTTTCAAGCAACGTGTAACCAGTCACCCGACAGTTTATTCTCCGAGCGCTGTGGCTCTTGTCAGACCAGAAGACGTAGAAGGCTGCAGGGCCTAGGGCTTCCGCTGGAGCCGCCGAAGCCGTCGCCGCGAGCGACTTCCTGTTGTGTAGGAGCTGAGATGATGAGTGCAGGAATCTGAAAAGAAACCGCGTGTTCTGAACCCTGAAAGCCGACTCCTTACTTCTCTGACTCAGGCCGGGGCCATCCAGCTCTTCCAGGCCCCTTGTCTTCAATTGAAGTGGGTGTGTTCCCTAACAACACCTCCTGAGACCTCCTAATGATGTGATCTTGATGTGCGACGTTGATGTTGACGCTGCTGATTATCCTTGTGATTGTGGTGATGATGGTGGAGGCCTCGACCCACGAGCAAATGGTACAGTAGTTGCAGCATTGGAAGCATGTTGCACTGCATGAACAGCAGACACGTGCGAATCCTGATGATGTTCATGCTGTGCTTCTCATGTAAAGAGCACACCTGCTCGACCTGCTGATGGCCCAATGTTCGCAGCGCAGCCGCCGACTAGCCCGTTCCAAAACGGGATCGCAAACTTGTGCAACCCGTGCTTGGTTCCTACAGTACGACCTCGGGGTGTCGTGAAAGGCTGCGATTTCGTTGCGCCTTCTCGACCTTTTCTCCGCTTCCGCACCCTGCCAATCTCCGACGTTTTGCTGCGGAGATGGCTTCCTTCTTACTCGCACTTGAATACACGCCCTTCTTTGCGATTTTCTGTAGAGTATGTCATAGTATGTCATTTTTATGGCACGGACCCAAAGCGCGGCGGCTTTCTTTTAAAGCAACACTTGAACCTGGCATCGGCTCAGGATCCGTCCGCAGAGCTCCGGACGTTAAGGGTTAGGGTGGTATTATAATTTCAGGGGCATTCGAGACTCACACGATGCGGGCATCGTCCACAGTGGAACTTCTGGTCTTTTCTTAACATGCTTCACTGGAGCCGCTGGAAGTTCTGTGGTGGGTCTCAGGCTGACTGCAAAAACCTGAGGCTGTTGGATCCGTGATTTGTTCGATCGCGCTCTTCCTGCATGGTGGGGAACGGTCCAGGAAGGTAGGTACGTAGGTGTTTACATGGGTACGTAGGTAGAGTGTAGGTAGGCCGGCAGGCTGGCAGCCAGGTAGCCTATGTGACATGTATATTTATATACACATGTAAACAACATAGTACATAATAGGTAACATAAAGCGTGAAATGCACAATGCACTATATATACATATGTATATGTGTGTATAAATATAAATATATATATATATATGTATATATATATACAATTTAACATAGTTTCATAATTGAATAATTACGACTATTTTTGTTAGTATGGTTATCATCATTATTACTATTACTATTACTGTGATTATTCTCATGATTATTATTACTATTCTCTTTCTTTGTGTTATTGTAATATACATATATACCACACAGAAGCGATATGTAATCTACAAGTGTATTTGTACACATATATTTTCAGTATTCAGTACTTCCTACCTAATACATAACATTTAATATTTAATATACAATATGCAGTATATAAAATCTAATATATATATATATACATATGAAGCATATAGAATAAACATACAGTTCATGATATATTATATACTGTATATTATATATTATACTATATGTTATATATTGTATAGCATATGTAATTTATAACTTGTAGTATATAACATATAAGTCATTGCTTATAGTGTTATATCATATATATATATATATTGTGGAATATGAAACACGTAGTACATAACACGCAATATATATATATATATTTATTTATTTATTTATTTATTTCATGATTTATAGCATAAGATGTCCCAACAAAACCATATCATACTGCATTAACTTCTAGAGTATAGTATAGCATGTTGTAATGTGACATAATATATTATGATATCAGGGTATATTGTATAATGAAATAGATACTATTATGCTGTGTTGTATGAAACTGAAGTCCATTATATCATATCATATTACATTTATATTCAGTTCAGTTCTATTCCATTATATCGCGTTCTAGTGTACTACGTACATGTATATGTACTTGTTTATGTATGTGTACATGTATGTGCATATGTGTATATAGGTATACACACAGATGTATGTATGTATGTATGTATGTATGTATGTATGTATGTATGTATGTTTGTACGTGGGTATGTATGTATGTATGTATGTATGTATGTATGTATGTATGTATGTACATATGTTGTACATACATACATACATGCATGCATGCATGCATGCCAATACATACATGTACACCGACTCATGCTCCGGCGGATAGCTGGCAGCCAGGAGAGAGGGGCCGAGAAGAAGGAAGCCCGCGACCCCCGCCTTCCGGAAGTGAAAGGCCTTCCCCTGATGTTTCAGGTTTAAGTTTCGGGGTGTCAGGTTGTAGAGAGTTATGTTTGGGATGGGTTTGGGTTCAAAGGTGGCTGCGATCGCGCTGAGCAGGAAAAGGAGAACTTCGAGACCAAATTAGCCACATGACACCTGCCCTGCTTCAAAACTGAAAAATGCAGTGCTTGGGCACGAGGCATGGACTAGCATCGCTTATGTGCCTCAGGTTTTTTGCTTGTTGGAGCAAAACAATGCGAAACACTGCTCGGGTCAGTCGGCGCAATGAAGCCGCGTCAACCACTTTTTTGCCAGTCTGCAGTGTTAGTCCTGCGCGGGGATCGGCACCACAGGAAGCACCAACGATCTTATGCCTCGTCCTTGCTACATGTGCATTGAGAATGCGCCCTGTAAACCTCACCGAACCAGATCTCTGAAATTGAAAAAGTTTGAGGTCCGTAAAATCTGCCCCACCTCTGGCACCCGGCAGGCCAGACTGTCGGATCATTCCGGGAGGGCCTGAAGCAGTTTAGCGATGCTTTGTACCTCCACCGCAAAGAAGAGCCTGTAAGAACATGCACCAACAGTGCGAGTAGCAGCAGGGCAGCCCATGCATCAACAGCAAGAGCAGCGCATCCGGTGTCCATACCAAGACTCAGAATGTTGATTTGTCAGATTTGTCATAGTATTAGGCTCTTTGTTCTTTTATCGCCAGTTGCTGACCCAAGGGCTGTGTCGTTCCGGCCGAGGTGCGCAGACATCGACAGCAAGGGCAGCCCGGTGCAGCTCAACTGGAAGCTCAAGCAGCTGGCACCATGGCCTTCACGAGGTCTTATGTTTCGTGCAGAGCAGAAAGCGGCAATCTGCGCAGTTGTTTCGCGCATCTGACATGAATTACAATGCCTAACTATAAGGGTTGTAATTGTATGGCGACGTTGATGGTGCTGGTGAAAGCTGTTCTTTTGACGGTACTGATGAGGATGATGACGACGACAATGATGATGTTCAGCCTGTTGTCAAAGATGATCCGATTGTCGACTCGCGTCGCCGTCTAGAGCAGCACAACATCATGAGCAGTATCACCGGCAGCAGGCACAACTGCGAACAAGGGGCGGGGCGGGGATGCGGCCACCGGCCCCACCCCACAGGGGGGGTGGGGGGGAGGGGGTGATACCTGGGATGGGGGGGGGGAGGGGGGAGGGCGTGGCAGCCCTGCGTCGTGTGTGCTATTAACCTTAACCTGTACGAAGTACTTTAAAACTTACACCTAACATAAACCGTCACCTTAACCAACCTGCACCCCATAACTTTTAACTTTAAACCCTAACCTCCATAGCAGAAGGTGCCTGCGAACAATTGCCTTTTCATTACGTTGTTCTGCTTTTGGATAACTTGCTTAGTCGCAGGCATCGATCGTCATTTTGTTTTCACACCGACTGCGCACATATGGATCCTCGCCTGGCTGGTCCGAGTTGTGAGAGTAACCCCCAAACTCAAAAGCTTGAGCTAAACCCCAAAGCCCCAAACCCCACAACCACACCACAGGGGGAAGAGGGACCCCACACCCTACCCACAGGGGGGGGGGCATGGACCATGCACCATGGGGGCGGGGGGGGGAGCGCCTGACTGTATATACAGCAATGTTGCATCACCAGCATTTTTCTCAAAGGGCCTTGAAGGCAAAGAGGCATTGAGGTGCTGCGCGGCGCTGAAGTATTCAAAACACGGGGCCGTGCGGACCCTGCAGCTGTACTGACTGTTGTCCCGCTGAGCTGTCCGAGGCCTTCGACGAGCAAAGCCAGGCAGCGAAAGCTGTTTGAGGAATATCTTTGAGAAGGAAGCCGGTGGCTTGCTCTATGACATAGCGAAGTATCGTAACATGATCAGTCTTCC